CGGGGCATGTTGAGAAGAGTAAAAGGTGCTAAGTACAGTCATTGAGAAAGTAGTCTCGTGAGCCAGAATTTCATGATGAGTGAAGAAAAATTCATTCACTCGTCGGAAGTCTGGATCTGACAAGGGACCCCGCTTCGGAGTTTCAAATTAATCAGCCGCTCTGAGCACCCGATGCTTTGCCTCAAATTCTTATATTTTTCCAGCTTGACTTCATTGACAAGGATGAACGATTTAAACACAAGCATCAGAATGTATATACATATCTATGTAATATGAAATATCACTCACCATCCTTCGCAAACTTCTGGCACCCTCCCGTGCATTAAAGTTCAACCTAGTCGATTGCCCTCCCTCCAAAGTCAAAAGAGTCCTATAGTTGGACCTTCTCCGCTCAGGATCGTCACTCTCCCTGAAGGTTCACTAGCGAATCTCAATAAAAAAAAAGACAAAGATCTTCTACCTTCTATCCCTAGCCTTTCCTCAAGCACTGGTTCCGTCACCGCACCTACATCTCATGCTGAAGAATGGTTGAAATATCAAAATTATGCTGATCTGGGAATTGGCTTTCCATCTTCTTGGGGTCTAAGGCTGGGGCTAGAGGAAGAAGGGACATCTCAGATACAATCCAAGATCGATTCTGAGAACCACCTCAGTGTTCCTTGTAGACTGTCCCGAGCTACTTCAACTCAACCTCAAATGCCTTCCTCCCCTAATGCGGATGCTATGCTTGGAATTATTCAGGAACTCGTAGAAGAGACGAGTCAGTGGGATGACAGTTTGTTTATGGACACCAGTTTCAAGGCATTGATTGAGAACTCCCGGTTGACCTCTGTGGACTCTCCATTATTATCATCAAAATCATTTCGTCACTCCCGTCAGCCATCTGGGCCCAGAGGAATAGTGCTTCCTGTTCCAAGTCCTCCAAAATACAAATAAGTAGCTTTATCCATCCGTCTATGAGATTCATCATTTAATGCGAGCCTATTGTGCGCCTCAAAAATTTAGTCAGACTTGAGTGCCCATTTCTCTCTACACTCTTCTTCACATCCTCACGATCCACCGAGCATCAATACTTGAGAAAATTTTTTCCTGCATTCACAGATGGACCTGAGAGGGAGACAAAGATCTGGGCAGAGTGTCAAGTCCATGCCTCGGGGCTCCATTCCGCCGCTCGGTATTCCAAAGATCCACCTTTATTGTAATCTCTCCTTATTGTTCTTTCTCGCTACACATACCCTTTCGTTCTAGTCTCTCCTTATTGTCTTTTACCTTACCCTGCAGGTACTACACGTATAGCTCCTAGTAGTTAGTCTAGCGCTCCGCTCCGTAGATATAAATACTGCCTGTACGCTACTGTAGTTCCTCAGTTTAATTATCAACTTAGATTCCCTCCTTAACTCTGTGCTCCTCTAAGTCTTCAGGCTCATTGCCTTGAAGTACTCTCTATTATAACCTTAGGACTTAGGCGTCCTTTGGTTCGCTTCTCGTCACCGGCGGTACTGCCGCTCCAACTTGGCTGCTACTTAGCTCCTCCCTTCTATACTCTCGATCTCCGGGGACTAACAGCGTAATGGCGGTGTTGTTAATAACTTCACTACTGTCCCACTCGACCTCCCGCACTTAGACACCTTGTGGCCTCTGGCACGGTTACATGGTGTACATGATCTTAACACGGAGATAAAGTGTTCAAACGCCTATATATGAGAAAGAATTGTCAGTCAAGGACACAGTTAGGGAGCGTATGGAATAATTACAGCCAGAAGCACTTGTCTTGAGCAGCGAACCATGCCAATGCTGTTACCACGAAGTCGCACTGGGCGATGGCTGAGACACGAATGGCACTACGAACATACTCGTAAAGCATCTCAAAGGTAAAAGCAGGGTACCCGTCACTGTCTGCCCGATAGAAGGCAAGAAGGAGACAAAGAGATGGATAGTTTAGGGCTGCAGTCTACATGAGGGACAGACTGATTGGATATGCATAGTTCGATTGTCTGTGAAGGAAATGAACAACAATATGTAGAGCCTGATGAACTGTACTCACCTGAGTTTTACCGCTACCCCAGTGACACGCCTAAATTTTGGCTAGACATCTATGCTGTGAATTGTGACATTTTCATGTATAGATTTGTATCGAGAGGACTGTAATTGAGACCCAGATTGACAGTCAAAGTCAATACTGAATCAGTCTAATAAGTTGAAGGGACCATATACCCATACTACCACAAGTTGGTTAGTTTACCCATCTACCTTCGGATAACAGTCTACCTGTTTGTCAAGCAGGATTATACCAGACTCGGACTACATCCAAAGGATGACCATTCACGTATGACATACCAAGGGTATTCTTATTGGACCTTACACTGGCAGGAGTTTGGAAGAACTTACTCAAGTGACCATGAGCCGAGGATTGACTCGAAATAACTTTCTAGAACTCAGGAATTATCAAATACTCCTTCTAGAACGAGAACAAGCATTAATCTAAAAGACTGCGATTTAGTCTAATAGACCAATCAAGTTGCATGGTTGAGGAAAATGACTAGAAGAGTGATCGAAGTACTGTGAGGCTCCAAAGACATATCAAATGAATGCCAAAGAGTCCTGACGTAGAAAATATTGAAGAATGTAATCAAATGAATACTATGCGTAGCTCCCTTGATAGAGTATAGGCACAATGGGTGTCTATTAAAAGAGAGAAGCAATTAGTTTAATCCAGATGAATCAGATTGATAGGATTAGAATCAAGGAGAGCTGATTTGCCTCCGGACGAGGTGACAAATGATCGAAGTAAGTGTTGAACAGCAATGACAGTTGAACACCATTCGAGTCATTCTCTAAAAACAATTAAATTAAATGAATATTGAAGTACCTACCTATGTTTGGAGGTATACTAGAATCTTGGAACCAATATGGACCAAATAAGGACCTGTAGATTCAAATTAAATGGTATCTGACCAATTGTAGAAGTTTCCTGGCGGTTCCGAACATTTATTGTATTAAATTAATTGTACTATGCGACTCTATATTCTGTATGTATAAATAGCGATCCGATGTATCTGGAATACAAAGTGATTTTGGGACGACATTGCAGTGCTAATCCGTAAAAAGGAAAGACACACTCCCGCCAAACTGAAACCTCTTTGCTAGCAGCCATTCGGGCCCGGCACTTGTGAGTATAGGAACATTGTGTTCTGCTCCTTGTGACTGCGAGAAGTATATCCAGTTGTTGGGTATTCTTCGAACTTAGGATCAGTTGTTGGTCTTAAGGGCAAATCACGCTGTGTGGTTGTGCCAGCACATAGTTCTAGCCCTCTGTAGGGGTCTGTGTGTTTCGGTTTTAATTTACTTTGATTCAAAAACCCCAATTCTTGATATACCCATATCAATACAAACCAAAGCACAAATCGTGCTGAATCTACCTTGATCAAAGGAATATATCGAATCCTTAGAACGATTCAAATTGATTGATTGAAGCTTCTTACTTAGCTCTCAAAGCTTTGCGGAACCTTTGCCAACGCTACCCCTTGCTATTAAATAAATTTGATAGCAGTGAACTCGCATATTGTGTATTAGATTGGTTGGTTGGAGTGCCCATTAGATTCCTTCCTTTCTCTTTCACACAAAAACGAGGCAAGCTCGTTATTGTATCTCTGCACAGAATGCAGTTCCTTTGTTTGCTGGAATGGTCAACAACCTTTCAGTGTTATATGTGGGTGGATCACACCTTGGGCTTGAAGTGGTTGTTAAGATCATGTACACCGAGTAACCGTGCCAGAGGCCACAAGGTGTCTAAGAGCGGAGGGTCAAATGGGACAGTAGTGAAGTTATTAACAACACCGCCGTTACGCCGCTAGTCCCTGGAGATCGAGAGTAGAGAAGAGAGGAGCCAGGAGCAGCCAAGTTGGAGCGGCAGTATCGCCGGTGATGAGGAGCAAACCAAAGAACTTATAAGTCCTAAGGCCAGAAGACTAGAGATTGACAAGAGTACAGGGAAGTCTCAAGTTGAGGATGTGAAGAGGATAACCTCAGTTGGAAAGGGAATCTAAGTTGATAATTAAACTGAGGAACTACAGTATCGTATAGGCAGTATTTATATCTACGGATCGGCGCATCAGTGCGGAGTGCCAGACTAACTACTAGGAGTTATACATGTAGTACCTGCAGGGTAGAGTAAAAGACAATAAGGAGAGACTAGAATGAAAGGGTATGTGTAGCGAGAAAGAATAATAAGGATGAGATTACAATAAACAGTAGATCTTGGAATACCGAGCAGCGAAATGGGGAACCAAGGCATGGACTTAACAGCGGTGTGATATCTACTTGTTTGAATAGGTGAGTAAATCATATTATTGCATGTTTCACTCAGGTTTACTGATAGAGCTCAGACCACGCTAGTCTTAGAATTGAACAATGCTGGGGTACAGGTTGCATTCATAGATAATGATGATTTTTTAGAGTGTCTGGAAAAACAGGAGCTCAGTAAACATTGGGGGTTGCTAAGGGGCATAGACCTAGTTATTGGCCGAGCCGATCTTCAGTAAGTCATTCTATTGCATTCTTTCATGAGATGTCTAAAATATATTTCAGTCCATTGAGCATTCCCCCACAGAATATATATTTGGGTAATCTAAAAGAAACTATCAAAGTACTCACAGCTATGGGCATTAGAATCTGGCCTGAATCAGAAGTGGATCATTTCACATGCAAAAAGTTTGTGCTTCACGGTCTTCTCATGCCTATTATCAAGAAAGTGGGAGGTTTAGCTGAGGCTCCAGTTAGAGTTACCTCAAACATTTCTTGAAAGCGGAGAGTGGATCATCAAGATGGAGTACAGCGATGAAGGTGGATACATTTACAGAACAACGGACAGTGTGGAGAAATTCGTAAAGGGCTTTAAGTCATACCATCCTGCCTGCCTTTTCTATGCTATATGCTACAACCCTGCTCTCATCTTATGGGAGGAGGTTTGAGTTTATATTGCTTTTGGAGAATTACTTCAAATGGTCCATACCCAACCCCAGCCCGGGGTAGATGGATTTTACAAGGGTCCAGATCACTGGAAGCTAATATCTGCAGAACATTGCTATGGTTTTCTAACTCCTGTGGAGAAAATACAGTGAGTAACCTTTATTCTGATCATGCATCTAGATGATAAACCTTCTTGTAGACCAGGTCCTACTTCCTGGGAAAGCCACACCAACCCAGAACGTTTGTGGTACCATAGGGATGGCTCAGTTGGACCTGTAGGACGGAATGGCAAGTCAGGGACAGATCAACTCCTTGAATTCACGAGCATGATTTATTATCGGTTAATTCAATTTGAAGATATGGTCTACTGCAAAGTTGATCATCCTACTTCTTTTCAACTATTTATTGCTAGTTTCCATTTACTGTGCCGAATTGATGTTGGTATCATTTGGGATGACTGGGTACCATCTGAAGCACGCTACAGATTTATAGTCAATGAAGTGCAGGAAGGCATGTATGGCCTAATGATGATTGGAAAGGATAGCCGAGGTGCCATACCCAAAGGTATCGTACAGGCTTTGAAAAGGGGTGCTCTACTGGGTCGAATCTATTTTACTATGGACATAATATTATTATTTTGTACACTCTATGCTATACTTACATTACTTAATGTACCTTGTTTACCGGGTATATCCCCTTTGAAAGCTTACTGAGCTGAAAGTTGAGTGTAAGTTTTACTTCGACTTTGGGCACTTGAACTTCGACTTTCAGTGCCAAGTCAAAGTCAAGCTTGACTTTGACTTTGGGCACTTGGACTTTGACTTTGAGCACTTGGACTTTGACTTTGAGCGCTGAGTCAAAGTTAAATTAACCTCCTACTGTAGCTCAATGGTTGACCCAACTGAATATATACAGGAAGACTATGACAAGGTCCCATTGATGGTAAAAAATAAAATAAAAAATTCATGAGAAAACCAGAAAGCCTCAACAGAGATTCAAACCCTGGCCTTTTGAGAATATACAAGGGTCCGCAAGAGGCATTTGTATCAAGTGCTCTACCACTAAGCTATTGAGGCATATTAGTGAACGTACTTGACTACATTGAGTGTCAGAGTGCAAAAATACTTCACCAACAACAAACTGATATAAAGTCTCAATAGGGATTTGAACCCTAGCCTATTAGTGACAATGAATGCATGTTCTGATTTTCACCAAACACTCTACCACTGAGCTATTGAGGCTATTCATATTGAAATCTAAAGATTGTAGCTGTTACTGAGAAAAGTCAAAGTCAAAGTCAAAGTCAAAGTTGAAGTCAAGGTCAAAGCAGAAGTCAAAGTCGAGTGTGGGAATTAATTAGACGCCCACTCCTGCTTGTACCAATTGGCCTCTAGAGGGTGCAAATTATAATTATATTGGCTAGAAATAGTATAGGATTACTGCTATGAAATAGCTCTACCTGTGTATATAACTTTTATAGCAAGTAATTTTCACCAAATTAGTGTCAACACTGCTCAGAAGAGAGTAATAGATCTTTGGCAGTCTCAATCCAGCCCTCTATGTCATGCCTCGACCATTAGCCATAGCTTCCTCCTATGTCTTCATGCCCTGGTGACTACCAAGACAGCCCCAGTATCAGCCATACACTCTCACACTCCACACCGATCCACCTCTGTACCTCCCCAAGACAGTACCATCTTCCTTTCGACACGAGTAACTCCTAAAACCTCCCCCAACATGCGTAAGAAGCCCTCCTACACCTACCCCATTAAGGTACTAATCTCGATTACATGCCTCATGGCCCCTGATGTCCCCTTGTTCACTTCCTGTACCTATTTAAGTAGCTCTGACACGTCCCCAAGCCCCAGCTTGGTATATTTTGAACACACACCCTTTTGCATAGGTCCAGTCCCTGTCCCTTTGTACCTGCTAACCATACGGATTTCTCTTTACTCTCTGTTTCTTTATCTCTGTTCCTCTCAATTCTTGTCTATTGTCTCTACGATTGTCCATACGATCCAATACACGCTTTTACTTCACGTCTAAGCAATCCGAGTGAGTCTCCGAGCTCCCTCAAACAATACTAAAGCTCCCCAACGCCTAACGCCTTGGTGAGCTAACCTCCCCAAAACCTCCTTGAGCTCCCCAATTGCTCCACAAGCTCTGGGACCTCAATCTAGGTAACGTCGAAGCTACCCCATACGTCAAACTACGTGCCGCTTCTCCGTTACCACCTCCAACACTCGAGGACGTCTACTTCCAACCCCCAGTTCCCGGGACCTCACCTCCTGGGCGTGTACCTTTTCAGGAGCTTACACACTCAAGACCTATTCTCTCTATGACCTATTCAATCTTACGTTAACGTTCTAGCGAGTACAACTCCTCCTACACAACGCTACTAGATTCCATACCTCATCTTCCTCTACCTACACCTTAGGGACCCTCCTGGACCTTACAGGAACCCCTTCAAGGGTCACATCTCTCAATCCCAGCCACTTCTAGGTCATTCCTGTCCTCGGTCGCGGTTTCCGTAGCTCCCTTTGAGCCCCAGCCTGCTCCTAGCACGCTACAACATAAACTCCTCATACCAAAACCTGTCAAGTCCATGCCTCGGGCCTCCATTCCGCCGCTCAGTGCTCCGAAGATCCACCTTTATTGTAATCTCTCCTTATTGTTCTTTCTCGCTACACATACCCTTTTGTTCTAGTCCCTCTGTCATAAAGTACGCAGCCCCTATCATTTTCCTTTTCTCACCGTCTCGACGCCTTTACTTGTACGATACATCATCCCATCACTGTCAAACCCCCATCGATTACTGATCCACCTGACCCATCTTCTCTTTCTACTGGCTTCCGCCACCTTCCTTGTTCCTAAACTGTACAGTATTACATCGTCGTTTCTCGTAGACCGGATTATGTATATATAGCCAACCCTCCACAGCCTGGTCCCTTATCTTGACCTCTCTGTCATTATCTGGGACCAGGTATGTGCTTACTTACTACTACCTATGACTACAATACTCAATATATCTCTGTCATTATCTGGGACCAGTTGCTCCGCCTCGCTGACCTGCTTAGTCGCTCCGCCTCTGCCGCTTCGTGACACCCTCCTTATTGTCTTTTACTTTACCCTGCAGGTACTACTCGTATAGCTCCTAGTAGTCAGTCTGGCATTCCGCACCGATGCGCCGATCCGTAGATATAAATACTGCCTGTATGCTGCTGTAGTTCCTCAGTTTAATTATCAACTTAGATTCCCTCCTTAACTCTGTGCTCCTCTAAGTCTTCAGGCTCATCGCCTTGAAGTACTCTCTACTCTACCTTAGGACTTAAACGTTCTTTGGTTCGCTCCTCGTCGCCGGCGATACTGCCACTCCGACTTGGCTGCTACTCAGCTCCTCCCTTCTATACTCTCGATCTCCGGGGACTAACGGCGTAATGGCAGTGTTGTTAATAACTTCACTACTGTCCCACTCGACCTCCACACTTAGACACCTTGTGGCCTCTGGCACGGTTACACGGTGTACATGATCTTAACTGTATAATTAAACTCAATCTGTTAACGTCGTACTAACATATCATTTTTTATGCCTCCGAAAACCCGAGCTCAATCTAGAGCTAACTCCAAAGAAAATACTTTCTTCACCACAGCCCAATCATTTGCCCCTTTCTCCGACTCTATCTCTGCCATCGGTCAACCACGTCGCCGTAATCGCAGTTTCGGTCCAGCCACAGTTCCTACTACGTCGACTCTTCCTGAGGCCATGGAAGAAGAACAACAATTCGAATACAGTACTCTGTATACCGGTGACGGACAACCTGTCCAAGTATTGACCCCTCGCCGTGGACAACCCCCGTGGCCGCTCCGGCTCGGGGCTGGTCTACTACTCGAATTGAGTCTCCCATCCTCCAAGCTATAGCTCGTCGTACTGGGAAACAACCTCAATGTCGTGCTGCTTCAGAATCTCCTCGTGACCCGCCTCCTCACTTCGATCTGGACGCTGGTGATCACGACGATCAAGACCCTCCTGTCGACCCCGAAGATCCGGGTGCCGACAATAACAACGATGACATGCCTAAATTTTGGCTAGACATCTATGCTGTGAATTGTGACATTTTCATGTATAGATTTGTATCGAGAGGACTGTAATTGAGACCCAGATTGACAGTCAAAGTCAATACTGAATCAGTCTAATAAGTTGAAGGGACCATATACCCATACTACCACAAGTTGGTTAGTTTACCCATCTACCTTCGGATAACAGTCTACCTGTTTGTCAAGCAGGATTATACCAGACTCGGACTACATCCAAAGGATGACCATTCACGTATGACATACCAAGGGTATTCTTATTGGACCTTACACTGGCAGGAGTTTGGAAGAACTTACTCAAGTGACCATGAGCCGAGGATTGACTCGAAATAACTTTCTAGAACTCAGGAATTATCAAATACTCCTTCTAGAACGAGAACAAGCATTAATCTAAAAGACTGCGATTTAGTCTAATAGACCAATCAAGTTGCATGGTTGAGGAAGATGACTAGAAGAACGATCGAAGTACTGCGAGGTTCCGAAGGCATATCAAATAAATGTCAAAGAGTCCTGACGTAGAAAATATTGAAGAATGTAATCAAATGAATACTATGCGTAGCTCCCTTGATAGAGTATAGGCACAATGGGTGTCTATTAAAAGAGAGAAGCAATTAGTTTAATCCAGATGAATCAGATTGATAGGATTAGAATCAAGGAGAGCTGATTTGCCTCCGGACGAGGTGACAAATGATCGAAGTAAGTGTTGAACAGCAATGACAGTTGAACACCATTCAAGTCATTCTCTAAAAACAATTAAATTAAATGAATATTGAAGTACCTACCTATGTTTGGAGGTATACTAGAATCTTGGAACCAATATGGACCAAATAAGGACCTGTAGATTCAAATTAAATGGTATCTGACCGGGTATAGAAGTTTCCTGGCGGTTCCGAACATTTATTGTATTAAATTAATTGTACTATGCGACTCTATATTCTGTATGTATAAATAGTGATCCGATGTATCTGGAATACAAGTGATTTTGGGACGACGTTGCAGTGCTAATCCGTAAAAAGGAAAGACACACTCCCGCCAGACTGAAACCTCTTTGCTAGCAGCCATTCGGGCCCGGCACTTGTGAGTATAGGAACATTGTGTTCTGCTCCTTGTGACTGCGAGAAGTATATCCAGTTGTTGGATATCCTTCGAACTTAGGATCAGTTGTTGGTCTTAAGGGCAAATCACACTGTGTGGTTGTGCCAGCACATAGTTCTAGCCCTCCGTAGGGGTCTGTGTGTTTCGGTTTTAATTTACTTTGATTCAAACCCCCAATTCTTGATATACCCAAATCAATACAAACCAAAGCACAAATCGTGCTGAATCTACCTTGATCAAAGGAATATATCGAATCCTTAGAACAATTCAAATTGATTGATCAAAGCTTCTTACTTAGCTCTCAAAGCTTTGCGGAACCTTTGCCAACGCTACCCCTTGCTATTAAATAAATTTGATAGCAGTGAACTCGCATATTGTGTATTAGATTGGTTGGTTGGAGTGCCCATTAGATTCCTTCCTTTCTCTTTCACACAAAAACGAGGCAAGCTCGTTATCTGGAGCCCACCGCGAGGGGTGGTTTTGAAGCTACAATTAGCTTGATAAATTAATTTGAACGTTTGTTTGGATTATATTCGATTATTTGGTAGAAGTGTGTTGATCTTTGTGATACCATTTCTGTGAACTGTCAACATTAGTTCATCAGGAAAACCGCGTACTTCGAAGAATTCGGAGAAAGCAGGAGTATTGACACCGGAAGAATATCGTAAAGCAGGAGTTGTATTTGGGAGATCTACGTTCGGCACATCAGCTCGAACATCCCTATTAAACCCTATGAACGAATCCAGTCGTCCATCCTCTTCTCAAATACCGACAGAAGAATTGTGTGGAAGTTCTGTTTCTAGAGGAACAGGATCATCTATATCTCGAGGAAGACTTACATCTTTGCCGAGGAATTTGAAGAAATCTAATCTCGATCCGAAAAGGAAGAGAAAAGAAATTAATCCAATTGATATTGAAGAAGATATAATTGAATTGATTGCTCCAGAGTCAATTTCAACATCTTCTACATCGATTGAATCAACTAGATTGATAGATACGTTAAATCAGACTATCTCTCAAGCAAGTAAAATGATTGAACCAGTCAAAATGACTACCAATAATTATGGAATGCCTGCGTTGTCAGCTGAAGCTAAGGCTGAGATTGATAAAGCCAGTGCGAAACTTCCAAGAAAGTATAAGACAGCACCATTATTTTATATAACTGATCCAAGTCAAATGATACCATGGTTCGAAGCTACTGAAAGCATATTTGAACATGGAGGAATTACATCTGACGAGGCTAAAGTGAGATTAGCTTTAGAATGGATGTCTTATAAAACGAGACAAGCATTAAGAGTCTTTGATTCGGTGAAGAAACTGAATTGGGATCAATTTAAAAAGGATCTGAAGAATATGTTTCTGCAATCTGTAGGAGACAAAAGAGGATCTAGATTATTGCTTGAACAATTGGTCCATCAATTTAATCCAATTGATGCAGGTGAACAGGAGAAGATGAGAATCTTCAGACTCCTCTTTGATGCTGAAATGAAAAAGCTGATGGACGAACCAAAAATGATCACAAATAGTGATGCAGTAAGGTTGTTCTTGGCACCTATGACTCCCGAAGTAAGGAGAGGCGTGCTAGAAACAGTTGTGAAAGATGTATCAGTTACGTCTATGTCAGATAGACGAAAGGAAGACCCTTTCAAGATTGACGAAGTAATGAATGTGGCTGAAAAGTATATGATTGGGAGTTCATTTGATAACTACTATCAAACACTTTCCATTGCTTCTTCGAGCCCACCAATTAATAACCCTAATTCATTTAGTAGGGGACACATTAATTTGCCGTTTGCTGCAGATGTTCCCAAGACAGATAGGAACTATCTTCAAGCATTGAAACCCAAAGTGGAAGACGAATTTAAGGATCTTCTGGGAATTAAATTAGAAAGTTTGATTCCAAGGGAATTGACGGAAGAACAACAGCAGATGGTTGCGTTGAATAAAGACCTCATGGAGGCAAATTGTTAAGATCATGTACACCACGTAACCGTGCCAAGGCTACAGGGTGTCTAAGTGCGGAAGACGAATGGGACAGTAGTGAAGTTATTAACAACACTGCCGTTACGCCGTTAGTCCCCGGAGAGCGAGAGTAGAGAGAGAGGAGCTAAGTAGCAGCCAGGTCGGAGCGGCGGTATCGCCGATGACGAGGAGCAAACCAGAGGACGTTAAAGTCCTAAGGTCGAGGAGAACGTACTTCAAGGCGTTGAGCCTGAAGACTTAGAGAAGAGTCAAGTTGAGAAGGGAGATCTAAGTTGATCTAAGTCGATAATTAAACTGAGGAACTACAGTAGCGTACAGGCAGTATTTATATC